TAATGTTTAATTCGTCCATGAAGAACACATGATACTTTAATCATTTCAACTTTTTACTAATTTTGAAGGCATTCTTCTCGTCACTAAACATATTTCGCTCGCATGGAAGTCACTACAACTCTGAGCAGCAATAATAAGGGATCGCATGTTAAAAATAGCTCAGGCTTGCGCGCGCAGCTAAAAATAGATTTTCAAGAAACTTTCATGGTTACAGACCCATGTATGGGAGATGTGCTCTCTTACTTAATATTCTCTTGGTAATACCCAAAGCACAAAAAAAGATTWAAAAAATTGGAAAATCTACAAAAAGAGGGATCTCTCTACAGAAATTAATCAAATATCCACTTAAAATGATTGTATATACAATATCGGCTACAATGCACTCTTATTTTTCTTACAAAGAGTCTTAACTGATAATGCAAAAGTTATAAGCAAAAAGGAATCAAGTAGTCACTGTTTCTAACAAAAATATTAGTGCTAAATTCGAGATGATATGTATGAAAAAGAAAATAATATCTGGATAAGGTGGGATTCGAACCCAACGACAGAAATTTTAAAAAATCCGCGACTCCACTGTGCCATATACCCGAGCCATCTGTAATCATGAGCATTTTTTCCATGTACTACGAAATTACAAGAGTCCTTCGTCAGTGCTGAAGAAAGACAAACATGTTGCGCGCGCAGTGCTTATCATCTATCATGCATCAATATAACTTGCTACCTAAAATGCAGCAACTCGTTTCTTATTAGCAGCAACTCGTCTAATTTGCTGCATTTTTAGGGACTTCCAGGGAAACAGAATCGTGTCGATAACACGGAAGTACCTTTCTCCATTCAAAGACTTGTACAAACTGTAAGTCAATACTCGGTTTCTTTCTTTCTTTCTCTCTTTCTTTTTTGAAGAAATTATTCATTGATAAAAGTTTCTTTTTTTACTCTGAGTCCGAAATCTTTCTCTCGTGTCATAGAGCGAAAGTAAACGATCTTCCAAACAATAACCTATTGAACCCTAAATAAAACAATGTATATCTCATTAAAGGAATCTGGCAAGAAACAAAATGGATTATATAGAACCTGGAACCTTCAAAGATTTGAATGAGCTTGAAATTTTGTGAGTACATAGCAATATGTATTAGTATAATTTTAGACTTGAATACAGAGTTTAACTCGCTGTGATTGGTCAAGCGACCAGTGATTAAGAGGCGATACTTTCCGAGCGAAAGTAAAATCACCAAAGGGAAACTGAATGTTAAGATTAGTATAATTGAAGACTTGAATCTGTGATTCAGAGTCGAGCGACCGATGATTCTGAACATAAGACGGTTTGCCAAAGTTTTCCAAATCGGAAGTAATACTAAAAGGTTTTTTCATCCTGAATAATTGTCGATAATCAACTTCTAATCCTTTTTTTTTTTTTTTAGGGATATCTCGGAAAATCAAATAACCTCACTACACAATGGAGCGTTCGATGGACTTTTCAAACTCACCTCCCTGTACGTGTAGACTGTTCAATCAATCCCATTTCTCGAAGATGGAGCAGCTGTTGCTCATGGCCTCTGCTTTGAGCTCTTATTTATCCAGTATTATAATTGGGCTTCCTTTGTCAAAGGCCAGGTCAATAAACTAAATCCAAGATGGTGGACAAATTTAAGTGTTTCTTTGCTGTAATAACTGCAAGTTTTGATTTATATTTTCGACATTTAAAGCTTTAAATGGCGGTAAAATCACCAAAAAGAAATATGTTAACTTCCAAATAAGGTAATCTTAAGGTAATCAAATATGGGGGATAAAGAGTTGAAGGTCACACGAACAACAATGCCTGGCTGCGGGCGAACAGAGAGATTTTCAAACAATCCACAGAACCAATACTTTCACTTCAACCCATCTTTGAAAACACACCACTAATAATCCACTAATAATCCACTATAAATATCTATTCATAGTTACCTCAACGAGAACAATATCACAAAAATTGAGAGTGGAAGTTTCCAGGACTTGAAGAATTTACAGCACCTTTGGCTTCATATTAATAAGATTCTCGATCTTCCTCGCAAGCTCCTGTGGGGAATGACAAAACTCAAAGTGCTGTAAGTCAAAATTTCTTGTTTTCCATTTAGAGACTGACCATATGTCATTCATCGATATCGGCGAGGATTTGTGTCAAAAACGCTGCAAAACACATCGATAGGTGCAGATTGACATAACGAAAGAAACCAAAACCTAATTCTTTTTTCGAGTGAGTCCACAATCTACATGGCAGCTATGACGTCACATGTAAAAGATCAAAAAACATGGCCGCCATGTTGGATGACTGAACAAAGGAAAGAAACATATTTTATTAAATTCATCCAACATAGCGGCTATGGCATCACATGAACAAGGACGAAAACATGGCCGCCATGTTGGCTGACCTAACAAAAGATATAGAAGCCATGTTGGATGAGTGAACCAGAGAATAAAAACCAAATACCTTATTAAAGTCACCCAACATGGCGGCTATGGCGTCACATACAGGATATTTGACAAAACAAAAGGAATCCAGATCAAAACGTTTGATATATATAACTTCAACCAACCTGGCGACTATAACGTTACATTCACCCAAATAGTCATTTGACGCCGCAACGGTATTCAGTCTTTCTAAAACTACACACAGGGGTTCAATATCAATACAGTATTTTTCTCACTTTGACTCCAGGGGACTGAACTCTAACAACGTAACGAAAATCGACCAATTCCTTTTTCGTGACGCCGTTTCTCTCGAATATTTGTAAGTTTACTCCTCGTACATTCTTCTTCTTTTCTTTTCACCGAAATTCCATGGTTTTGACATTTTTGCAATATTTTGCAACCTTTCTCTCTCAGACTATTCCAGTACAATTTGCTAACAACCATCGCAAACAACTCCTTTGCAAACGTCAGCCATCTTCGATATTTGTAAGTACTTAAGGTTTCAAAGGTTGAACGTTCGATCAGACGGAAAAGGTATAGAGTGATCTAATGAGTGGGCCGATAAATTAAAATACACGATCGATATCCCAGCCTCCAGAATGTTTTGATTTTGTTTAATATTTACAGGTTTTTGGACGACAATAAACTGACCAGCATGAATCAATATACGCTAAAAGGAGCATCAGCGCTGGAAATCATGTACGTATTTGCCACTGAGRGGGRGGGGGKGGGGAGTGGCGAGAGCAGCGAGTATTTTTGGAATTGTTTGGGGGGGGGGGGGTGGTGGTGAGGGGGGATGAGCCGAGCCCGTTTTGGTAGGCGGGTTCTCTGGTTTTCTTTCCTCCGTATATCTCCCCTTGACTGATGAAGAGACATACGTCTCAAAACGTCTGTTTTTTAGACACCTTTTAAAGTACTTATATCAAATAAATAATATTTTCATGTAAATATACTTACATGAAGTGCTTAGGGCTTAACTGTAATTTCATAATCTCCCCTTGATGCGGATTTCATTGTATTTCTTTCTGTTTTATAATAACAGCTCATTGTCAAACAACGAAAAATTCGGAGAAGTTTCGAAGGGCACTTTTGGCTATATAAACTTTCCTCGACTCCGATTGGTGTACGTGCTCAACACTCAGATGGTGCAGATTAAGATGGAAACATTTGAAGGACACTCTAAAGTTGGTGTCGTAATGTAAGTAATAAGTTATAGGTGGAAGAGGTAGGAGATGGGGAGAGGTGGGCGAGAAGGCGGGAGGAGGACATTTTATTTCATAATAATTTATCAATTTACTCGATTCTGATTGGACAAGAGGAGTACAATTAATTTTAAATTGTACTCTGTAGAGTCCCAATTAAGTTGCTCAACTTTTTTGAGAGTGTTATAAACAAAAAATTGCACAATCTTCTCATACAATTCTGAATTTTTAGATACTCGTTTCCTTTACTAGAAGTCTAATTTTATATTGTTAAAAATTTCATGGGATCCCGAAAATGTTAGGGCAAGGCGGGGGACGGGAGGGTCCTTGCAATTCACATACCATTCTCAAACCATAAGTAATGAAAGGTGTTAAAAAGTAATACCAAACACAACCTATGGTTTTTCTCTTTTACCAGCGCGCCCACACAAGACACGTTCCCGGTGATTGCTCAGAACGATACGAGGTTGCAGTACGGTCTTGGTCGAGATGGGTTCATCTGTAATGGCTCCATCTGCAGCCCTTGTCACTTTGGCGAGTATCAGGACCGTGTGAATGAGTCTTACATCTGCAGGAAGTGCCCTCCAGGTAAAGCGTGCATCTCTTCCCCATGGGCCGCGGCTGGGGGGCAAGTCTCAATCATACCCCTCCCCACTTTTTAGGTTGCTCCGCGGCCGCTGTTCCAATGAGTTTGTCAAAGGACTAAGAAATTGCCAACCTGACAAAATTTGTTGTTCAAAAGCATGTTATACAATATGGTAGCTTTGTTGTCACATGCACAAGGACAAAAGACACGGCCGCAATTGTTGGTTGACATAACAAAAGACAACAAGACCAAAACTTTTGTTCAAGTCAAACAACATGGCGGCTATGACGTCACATTCACAAGGAAAAAAGACATGGCCTCCATGTTGGTTGACATTACAAAAAACAACAAGACCAAATCTTTTGTTCAAGTCAAACAACATGGTGGCTATGACCTCACATGCACAAGGACAAAAGACATGGCCGCCATGTTGGTTGACATAACAAAAGAAACCAAGACCAAATCATTTGTTTAAGTCAACCAACATGGCGGCTATGACGTCACATGCACAAGGACAGAAGACATGGCTGCCATGTTGGTTGACATGACAAAAGAAACCAAGACCAAAATATTTCCTTAAAGCCAACCAACATGACGGTTGTTACGTCACTGCACGCAAAAGGAAAAAATGACCGTCATTTAGGTTAAGTTGAAATATAGCTAAAGAAAATTGTCATTCAAATCATCCAAAATGCAGTTGCTATATATGGTTCCATGCGTTCCATGGACAATAGACATGGCGTGCCGCAAGTTGGTTGATATAACTAAGAAACCTTTAGCTAATATTTTTGCAAAGTAATATGTAATATGGCCGCCATAGCATCATATGCACCTAAAGGATTACATGGAATCAAACCGGTATGATGTTGCAGGGCACCTTAGGCAAGAAGATGATAAAGCAATAGCCAAGGATAATAAATATAAATCTAAGCAATCCGCTAACCCAGGATACAATAAAGCTTGCTACACCAACTATAAAGATCTAAAGACTGCATGCACCAAAAAACTGTATGTTTTCTCTTCATTTCTATTTTATTTAGGTGGATTTTTCCAGAATGCAGTAGGTCATTATGGCAAGATTGCCGGACTGACAGGATGTAAATACTGTGCAAGAGGAACCTACGTCAATGTTACAAGTGCTCCTGCTTTGATCCGGTTTACATGCAAAGTCTGTCCTGCAGGTATGAAAAAAGTGGAGTAGAGTGCAATGCAGTGCAGTGCAGTGCAGTGCAGCGCAGTGCATTGGAGTGAAGTGCAGTGGAGTGTAGTGGAGTGTAGTGGAGTGCAGTGGAATGCAGTGGAGTGCAGTGGAGTGCAGTGGAGTGCAGTGGAGTGCAGTGGAGTGCAGTGGAGTGCAGTGCAGTGGAGTGTAGTGGAGTGCAGTGCAGTGGAGTGCAGTGGAGTGCAGTGCAGTGCAGTGCAGTGGAGTGCAGTGCAGTGGAGTGCAGTGCAGTGCAGTGCAGTGCAGTGCAGTGCAGTGCAGTGCAGTGCAGTGCAGTGCAGTGCAGTGNTGCAGTGGAGTGCAGTGCAGTGCAGTGCAGTGCAGTGCAGTGCAGTGCAGTGCAGTGCAGTGCAGTGCAGTGCAGTGCAGTGCAGTGCAGTGCAGTGCAGTGGAGTCAACAGAACCGACCAAACATTTGAATTTTTTGGGGGTTATATTTTAAGGCACGAAGACAGACGACTGGTCTAACTACAGAGGATGTTTTTGCATTCAAAACTTCTATCGCAAGCATCGGTTCGGTGAATGTGAAGCGTGCAAGAAAGGTGGTATTCGTGGTGTTCTGTGCAATGAAACCCAGATGGTGAAAGAAGGCTATTGGTGGCAGTTCAAGTGAGTCAGCCAAAAATGTGGCATAACTAATCTAGAGGCTATTGACACTTCTGAATCTTTTGATTGTTTATCAGTAATTGATTGTTTTTATAATGGTATAACCTACATACACTCAGTTGATGTAATGTATTCATCAAATCAATTGCATTTTATTGTCGTTCTGTTATATTGGGTTTGATTCATTGTATTTTATTATTTTATTATTTCAATACATTACTGCTTACTACGTAGGCTCTCCCATTGGTTAATAGCTGTGCTATATTAGTGAAACAAACACGGCTTATGACGCAATCCGCGCGCGCAGCAAACTTTTTAAAGAAGTGAAAGCATTTGAAGGACAAAATAAGAGGAATTCACTAATCTCATGATAATTGGAAAGCTATTGATGGTTTTCAACCATTCCCAAGAGAATTTAATAACAAAAGATACGGCGGCCATGTTGGAGGATATAGCAAAAGAATTCATTGACAATTCTTTTGTTAAGTTCCTTCAACATGGCCGCCGTGAAAACCATCAATTGATATGTTCTTCAACTTGAGCTGCATTCCGACGTGCTGCAAGGTTCTATTGCCGAAAACACTCGCTTACGTCACTTTTTGTATTACGTCACTTCCTGTATTCAGAAATAAAAAGCTGCACGTTTTATTTGTTAATCTATTTTAATAGATCTTACAACGAGAGCTGGCGATACCAGTTCTTTCTTGACACCCTCATGGAACCGTATGAGAACTACGATCATCGATACCTTGGATTTGAAGGAGATTTCCCTAAAGCCTACCCATGTCCAAGGGCAGCTTCATGCCTTGGTTTGCTGCAGTCCGTACGAAAGCCTTGCGAGTCTGGATATGGAGGACCACTGTGTGAGGTAAGATTTGGGGGGGAAGGGGGGGTGGGAGGTAAGACGAGTGGGAGTCTCGAGTGGCAGATTAGGGGAAGTACAGCGTGAAAGTAGTGTTCTGCCGTCGAACCACAGGCCCAAGCTATATTATGGGCATGGGCACGTGATGATACAAATCCTTTTGTTATTCTCTTGAGAATATGATTCCTTGTTTGAGTTGTATACATATTCATGTGTCTTATCGTGCGCAACTGTTAAACAAAGAAATGATACTCTAGGTAATGACACATGGTCTTGAGAATAAGATTCCTTGTTTGATTTGTATCCATATTCATGTGTCTTCTCATGCACAACTGTTAAACAAAGAAATAATACTTCTCGGGAATGACAAGTGGTCTGAAATGGAAAAATATTTTGCCCACGCTAAATAGATCTATTATTATTACTTTCTGATATTCGTAATAGAGCAATATTTTTTTAAAATATTTATCCAGGTTTGTGAGAGAGGGTTTCATAAGTCAATGTCTCGGTGCGTCAAATGTCCGACCCTCAAGTGGCTCATTGTACAAGTATCGTTCGTTGCTGTCATCATTCTCGTCATCATCCTTATTCTACTGAGAGATGAACGAAAAGAGAAGAACAAAAGGAGAACGCTGACTGATGTGGTGCTGGCCAGACTTAAAATCGTCATCGGTTTCTACCAGGTATGTGTTACCATGGTAACACCATAGAATAATTATCACCATGACAACAGGTTAGAACAGAAATTATCATGACAGTATGTAGGAAAAAATCTCCATGGCAATTAAAAAAATAGCGAGATAAAGTTTCATCGGTATGATAGAAATCATTATGGCAACGGCATTGGATCGAAATCGCCATGGTAACATGTTAGGATCGAATTTCGAAATATGCAAGCTTGAAGTCATCATAGCCATATTTCAAGAAAAAAGATCGTGATACATTTAGATATTTCCAAGATAAAAAAAGGACTTTATTATTATTTTTTTTTATAGCTTCTATTTCATTCCCTAAAACAGCCCCACAATGCACTGCAAAGCCAACTCAACCCCGTTTTCCCCCACAACCTAGGAATGGCAATACTAATCAAACCGGTTTGACGTGTTTTCGTTTCCAAGGTAACGTCAGGAACACTGGATGCATTCTCTTACGTCGAGTGGCCTGACGCCATGCTCCAGCTCAGTAATTACGCCAAGTTTCTTCAGCTCAACTTGGTTCAAATCGCTCCCTTGCACTGCTTCACTGACAGCCTGAAAATGAATGCTTACAGTGCTCTCACCTTGTCTGTCGGCACGAACGTGGGTGTGGTGTTGATTTGTTTCATCTACTTCCACCTCAAACGGCTGTGTATCATTTTCTTAAGTAAGAAGAGTGAAGAGGAAAAAATGGTAAGTGAAGGATAACCACTTCGGACAACAAACAAACAAACAAACAAACAAACAAACAAACAAACGAACAAACAAACGACATGTTCAACCGTTAAACAAAGAAATCATAATCTAGGGAATGACTCGTGAACTGAAATGGTAAAACAGTATCCCCAAGCTAAAGGTCGACGATGCTTTTGAACAGTCCGTCTTGAGGCATAAGGATTATGCGAGGTTCATTTGATTGCTTTTGCGCTATTTCAAAGGCTTTGCGGCATCACGTGACAGGAGGCATAATAATAAAGTCGTTTACCCCTGAAAACTGAATTCGCTTTTATGTAAACTATATTAGACCACATTCAATTGTTCCTGCCTCCTGTCATGGCTGCCGCCACGTAATGGTGCAAAGGCTCTTGTTAGATATTTTAATTTTTTCTTTCATGTACAAATAGGACGATATTCACTACTCCAAGTCCAACTGCTACAGAAGCGCGTTCCTTCTTCTGTTTGTGACATTCCCCGAGACTTGTTCACGAATCCTGGCCATTCTACCACCAGCCTGCATGAGGCTTTGCCAAGACAGAAATGAGCAAAACTGCACTTCCTATCTTAAGGTAGCCACTGCCTTACATCTGCTTACCTCTGTTTACTTTATCGATCCCTGGTTTTCAAACATTCCCAAAAAAATAAAATAACAAAAGACATGGCTGCCATGTTGGATGATATAACTAAAGAGATTAAGGGAGAATCTTTTGTTAAATTCATCCAACATGGCGGCTGTGAAAACYATTAATAAGCCACAGTGATGTTGTAAGGTCTGACCACAGGGGGAGGGGGAGGGGGTGGCTGGGGACAATGTACCATTTTCCCGCCAAAACACACGCGTGCGCGTATCATGTTAAGAATTTCCCGCCACATCCACAGGAATCCCGAATGAATTGACGAAATCTGGTGTATAGATAGGAGGTGCAGAGCTGTAACTTGTATTCCTATTCAATGCAAAATGCAAAAACTACCAAATGAACAGACTTTAGATTTATTATCTTTTACACAAAAGAAGAAGAAGAAAATAAATAAACAAATAAGAAAAAAGGGAAAGAAAAGAAAGAAAGAAAAAGAAGAAAAAGAAAGAAAAAAAAGAAAGTGTACGATTCTGTAGTCTTCTTAGTCAAACTTTTGGGGCAGCGTTCGTCCTCCGTCGCCCGGCCCCTCGTTACGCCCCTGATAAAGCCCTGATAAAACTCACGCGTTTATGGCGTCATGTTACATTACTTTACTAGAATCCCCGCTTTTACATATTTTGTTCAAAGGACTATTCCTATTGCGTTACAGGCTGACTACAATCTAAACTGCTTCGATGATCAATACAACAAATACGTAAAGTACGCGTACTTCGGATCCGTCTACCCAATCCTGTTCCCGTTGTTTACCATCTTGATTCTCTATCTGTTTTACTACCGGAAATACATCAAGCCAGGCGCTCCTCCTCCCCAGCAGGAACAAAAACACTTGGCAATTGTCGATGGCATGAAGTTTGTCTATGAGAACTACAGGTAAAGTAGAGATTTTACAATGACAGAGCGTATATTCGTGCAATCTGATTGGCTGACAGCTTTGAGCAGTAAGAGGATAGACGCAAAGAGTGATGCTTCCCTCGCTCACAACGCTTGCTTGAAACCGTTTTTAACTGTTCCAACATGTATGAAATAAGAATCAAGTAGCTAGAGTTGCACTCGGTAACGCCTCGTGCGACTCTTACGCTTCTTTCATGCTTAGCAGCCTTCCGCATGCATCCAAAACTGCATATACGCACGCTAAGCATTGACCATTCCTAATCATAACATAGCCACGATGTAACGCGCGCTTTGATTGCTTAAGAGCGTGCATCCAGAAATGGATGGTGCTCGCTGACGCGATTGAGCAGTGCGCGCTAAGTAATGAGAATTTGAATTTTTTGATCAACAAATGCATGTTTTTCACGGTTATGCTATGTTATAAAAGCAATGGTCAGTGCTTAGTTGTGCATATATCCAGTTCTGGGTGCACTTGGGAAGCTGCTTAAGCACTCAACAAACTAGATTGACCATTCCCTAAATATATATCTGTATCAAAATATATACACCGCATACACTTAAGACTAAAGGCCTGTTTCACGTCGAAACTTTAAGCTAAAAATTGTGTGCAACGGCATTAAGAAATAAGTTTACGGGGGTGTTAACAATAATAATAATAATAATAATAATAATAATAATGATAATAATAATTATAATGATAAAAATAAACATTTATATAGCGCCATTTCCAGAAGCTCAATGGCACTTTACAAAATCGCTATAAAATTACATAATATAATGTTACATGGCGTAATGTTTTCTTCAACACACTATCATCCGCCATGTAGATGTCGCCTGCTCGCTGGTAATGTTGGCACACAATTTTGATTGTTAAGTCACTGGGACATGTCGAAGAAAGTTTCAAGAGAGAAATATTACACGGCGCACGGTCCTGAAACTTTCACGACACAAGTTTTTGTTGCAAGAGTAGAGCGCAGTTCTACTTTTCTTGAGATTTTCTCGCGAAGAAAATTTCACAAAGCTGGTGTTGTTACTCAGTGCTTTATATTCTTCTCCTTCAGTCCAAAGTGCTGGTATTGGGAAATCGTTGAGATGCTGCGCAAGTTGATCCTCACTTCTGGTCTGTCACTCATTGGATCTGAAGGACGTACCTACATCGGGATGGCGGCCATGGGGTCTGGGTTCTACGCTGTTGCGCATGCCCAGGCTCGTCCAATCCCTGATAACTTTGAACATCTTCTGCAGCTGGCGTCGTTGGTCGCAACCTTCTTTAATCTGAGTGTCGGAGTTCTTCTGAGGATACCAAAAGTGATGGAGAACTATTCTATTCAAGAGGACAGGGATTCTGTTGGTGTGACTGTGATCCTGGTCATGGCGAACGTGACGGTCACTGGACTACTTGTTGGTGAGAAATACAGCTGTTTATATTATTAAAAAGCGACGACTAAACAAAACACCGAATGGAAGAACAAGTGAATGAAAGAAAGGCGAAATAGAAATAAAAACGCGAGGTAAAAAGAATGGTGAAAGCAACCAGAAAATAAATGGACGAAAGAAAGAAGGGAGAGATGAAGGAAAGAAAGGTGAGAACGAGTAAGAAGGGAGGGAGGGTGGGAGGGAGGGAGGGAAGGAAGGAAGGAGGGAGGGAAGGAAGGAAGGAACCAATGATAGAACGAACGAACGAACGAACCTAGTTAGTTAACAAGTGAGCGAACGATAGGAATGATAGAATGATAGATCGAGTTTCAGACCATTACTGAGGAAGGTAGACTATCGATGGTAAATTACCTGTATTTCATAGTTAACTCTAGCTAAGGCTTGATCTTGTCAGTAACACAACATAACATGATAAACTATTTTAGATTGGATCACTTATCAGTTAAAACATTATTTTTTGTGTAGCCCGCTATATGTTCTCACTTAGTCAGAGCATAATATCAGTCATTAAGAATCCCCAGTGCACGTGGGAATGCTGTATTGGAGTCGTTCTCTCTGTCCAGGAGACTGGCACTGATCTAAGTGAGATTGGTGAAACCGCTGCCACCAATGACTACAAGGTTGATTTGCAACACACCGACACAATGGTAAGTGTAGGTTGACGTCATTTTCTACTAGGGTGAATATATTCTCTAGTAAATTGAATTTTTTCAGTATGACGTTTGCATGATGGCGTCATTATACTTCCATTACCAAGATGCTTCGCGAATTTTCTTTCTTATTCAAATTTGTATTTCCTCATGAGAATAGTAAAACAATTGGTGCTATTTAACGGAACGAAAGAAAGTGTGCAAGGGAGTCTGGTATGATGATAATGATTTATTATTTATATAGCGCCCTTTCTATAAGAATATAATCAAAGGCGCTTTACATTGAGTTGTGAATGACAAAATTGCTTTTATTTAATTTACAAGCATGAGAGATGGTTAATATGAAGTGTAGGCACTGAGGGTGGTCAATGCCAGGGTTTCTTTACGTCCTCAGTGGTTCTTTTACGTCCCTCCTATGTTGGTTAGTAATGATGAGTGTGGAGAGATGGGACCGCCATTTAAAGTGGTCATCCGAGCCACTTGAAAGTCTAACCATTTTCAGATGTAATTACAAAGGCAGCACTATCTTCTATTTTAAGACCCTGACCTCCCGCACGAAAGTCCGATGCTCAACCAACTGAGCCAACCGGTTCAGTTATGGTTTTGCAATACTGCAAACCCAGAAAAAGGACAACAAAGCAATCCCGAAAAGAAAAAAACATTTTTATCCGTTCAACCTAATTTCAAATATTTTGCGTTTTTTATATTAGTTTAACAATTAATTAACAAAAATTCCCCCCCTCCTCGCCACGCCACTGATTCTGCTCTACAAATACTAAGTGTTCTTTAATGATACTTTTAGGGTAATGGTGTTGAAGATGTCGACGTATTGGAGATGGGTATCGACAACAAGGGAGCAGAAGAAGAAGAAGAAGTCAAAGCCAAAGAAAATATCTACGACAACGAATCCTACACTAGCTCTGAGGGAGGCAAGAAGTCTCCCGAAGGAGCCGAGAGTGACAAAGATTCGTATGAAGAAAATCCTGGCGAGAGACAAGAACCTATAGGCGAAGAACAGCTTAAGGAGCCATCCGTCCCACTAGCTCAGGATATGGGGGACCGGGATAGAAAGAGTCCTAACGAAGGAATAGTGAATGAAGGAATGGAAGGAGAGAGGCCAGAGACGCTGGATCCTTACGATGTGGAGTTGAAAATGGCAGGGGATGAACAACAGGCTCATGTCAACATCGCCATCGAAGACGAGAGTGTCGAAGAAACTAAATTTTAATTAATCTAACGGATTCGGGTATATATAATCTTTTAAAACTTTAAGGATTTTAAGTAGTATAGGAAATCGCACGATCTCGAGCACAATTCGTAATTTATAGGTACGAGTGGTGTTTTGAAAGTTTTCAAAATTGGACGAGCCTTTATGGGAGTCCAATTTGAGAACTTTGAAAACATCACGAGTATCTATAAAATCCGAATTGTACGAGAAGATTGTGCGATTTTTTGTTTATAATACGCTCAACAAAATTGAGCAACTGGACTCTACAGAGTACAATTTTGGGTTTAATTGTACTCCTCTTGTCCAATCAGAGTAATTTGGCGAGTGTATTATAAACGATTTAATCGTACTCGTCTTGTCCAATCAGAATCGAGTAATTTTGTCGTGCGTGTATTATAAGAATTTTAATCAGTAGGGTTGAACAAGTGTAGCTCAGACCTAGCTGCCCCTTGGCTATATGTACATGTCAATAGACGATTTCCGAGTCACTTGATAAAGAAACTATCTTGCTACAGTACTGCAAGGGTGGATCCAGGGTAGTTTACGTGATTTCCGTAAACTACTCAATTTTTTTCAAAGCTACACATTTCTTTCTAAATAATG